TCTCAAGTCCAAAGATGTTTCTGTAGTTTAGAGTTTCTTACTCAGATTTTGATAAATTATTTGTCTTAAAAAGTTTTTTTAATATCTGCAAAAGCTGACAGACTTGATCCCCAGCTTGTGCCTTCAAAAGGTTTTTATTTAATTTCTGTCAGTGAATCTTATTTTTTGTGTAGTTTTAAAAAAAAAAAAAAAAACTACACAAGTCTGAACAACTGGTAAGTTGTTCATTTGTCCAAGACTCTATTAAACTGCTGTTGTCACATTAAATATGTAGAAGTCAAACTTTATACAAGTTATTATGACAACATTATTCAAAGTGCTAAACAATAAGGAGCTCAAAACAAATCAGATTAAACAGTTAAAAAAATATAGTTGATAGTTGATGATTTTCAACATTTACAGAGTAAACACTATTTACTCTGTTTACTGAGTAAATCAAACAATCACTGGTCAATCTATCTGCCAAATTCTTATATTTTCTTTTGTGTTGTACTTATATTCTTATTCCTTGTTTCTTGCATAATTTAAGGTTTTGGTTACTCACATTTAGTGTGTACCTTAGTATTTAACTTGTATTTTTGTATTCTTTTGCACTTTGCTCACTGTGCGCTATCTTTTTTTCTTTTTTGCCTGTAAGCTGCTGGTAAGTTCCTGAGGGAGTCTTCCCAAGGGATCAATAAAGTGCAAGTCTAAGTCAATCTTTCTGCTATACATAGGTAAGGAGACCAACTTTGACTCCAGAACCAAAGAGACAAGGAAAGGAACATCGTCATCATCGTCATCATCATAATCATCACCGTGGGACTGATAGCAGCTCTAAAGTCTCTAATTCTAATATTGATTATTTGGTTTAGGAAGAAAAGGAGAAAAAGAAACCAAAATTTTTGACAAAAAACATTTTTGTTTGAACTTTTTCTCTTTCACATATTATATTTTAATAATGACTTTGAGTCGTTTATTGAATATCTTCAGATTCATGTTTTAAATCATTTCTGGTATAACCAGAAACAATGATCTGCTATTATGTTACTCAGATGAATTTATTCCGTTTCACTTCATGTGTTTGGAGAGACCAGTGGTGACAACAGTATTAAGAGTTTGTCCTGAAATTAGCATGTTGTTGGTTCAAATCTGCCTCTTCTTATGTCTTTGAGCAAGGCACTTCACCTGCCTTACCTGCCAGTGGCATCGACCCACAGCAACCGCTGCTAAATTGCTCCAGGGCAGCTGAGGCTGTATTGTCACCATCAGTGTGTGAATCGTTGTGAAGAATTTAAAAGTACAAGCCATAGTTAATGTTTTATGAAAATAGTAAATTAGAGCTGTAATTTATTATTTAAACATTATTGTTATTTTGTAGCTTAAAGCCTGTGTGGTTTTGCTTTCATCATTGATCTCATAATTAGTGTGTGTTGGGTCATTGATTGTAGAAAAGTTATAAATGTACATATTGAGGTTTTATTAGAAAACTGTTATTTATTCAAGTGTCAAAACTTGTTTTGCATAAGTTTATATTTTTGATTCAATGTGTTTTTCTTCTTTTTTGTGTATTTAATGAGCCTCAGTGAAATTCTCACTATTTACTTGTTTCAACTTTAATGTCTAATTATGAGTCAATCTGCTCTTTATTTGGGCTGCAGGTCAAATTTATGAAACTGGGAAAATAGTTTCTTTGTTGTTACTGTTGTATTTACATATTTTACATGTTGTGTTTACTACTGATTACAACAGGTAATCAGTAGTTATTATGATATTATGTTGGCTTTGTATCTAATAAAGTTCTGTATTTTATTTAAGATCAGCTTTATTCATATATTTTTACCAGGTCAAACTAATCCTGCCCCCTAGTGGCGACAGATGGTTCTGTAGGTTAGAAACATTCTGTTGGTTATTTGCCCATTTTGTCTGAAAGTTGCTTTTAATCAACGTATATTAATTAGTTATGATTAAAAACAATCCAGCAAAACTACAGAAACTGATTCCGTGGAATAAACAGGCGGCTGAACGTGTGTCTGCCCCTTTAAGAGACACAGGAAGGATGATGACGTCACAAAGTGGGCTGAAGACAATACTTTAACCCAGAATCAGGAAGTTCAGGAAGATTTTCTCTGATCTTCAACTCGGTTCATCTGAAACGGTCAGTTTTAATTCATGTTTTCAGATTTAAAGAGTTTTTAAAATTCACGCATTAAATGAAGGTTTAGTTAAAGTTGGAACAAAGTTTCAGCAGCAATATTATCACGATTCTTTATGTTTCTGTTCCAGTTTGTTTCTTGTTGCATAAAATATTTTTATTTTAATGACAAACGGAATAAACTCTGTAGAGGTTTTGACTAGACAGATTAAATAAAGCAGAATGCGTTGATTTTTCTAATACGGGCCTATTGTTCATAACTGCGCTGCTTTTTGCATGAAGGTTTCGGTTCAAAGGTCATTCAGCTTTTAGTTATTAAATATTGATTTAAATGCATATTTTCTCTGCGTCATGTTTGCAGAAAAACGTCAGTTTCTGTAACAGCGATCATTAGAGAAACACTCAGTGAACTAAGATGTTTAGTTTCACTTTGATCAAACATGTTTTTATCAGTTTTATCATAATTAAAACTTCTCTATGTTTTCTGCATGACTTTTAAACTAAAAACTAAACTTTAAACTTATTAAGCGTCTGCAGATCTGATCAAAGCGAAACATTTTATTTTCCTCCATTTTGTGTTTCATCGGACGCCATATTGAAATGATGATCCTCTGTAATTATCACGTGATCAGAGATCAATAGTAACTAGTTACATTTACTCAGTTACATTAACTTGAGTAACTTTTTAGAACAAATGTACCTTTAGTGTTTTATTACTTTTTACTTTTACTTGAGTTTTTTTTTTATGAAGTTTTTCTAACTTGAGTCAAATTTCTGGATTTTCTACCCACTGAATAAAAACCAAAAATGTTTTAACCAATAATTAAACACAAACCTGCAGTTTTTGTTAAAGTTTATAAGTTTTTTATGGAAAGAAACTGATTTGGAAAAAAATAATAAATTCTTAATTTTGTTATTTTGTTGTTATATAAATTATTGTCATTTTTCTCCTTAAAGTATAAAAAAATTCCTCAAATCTTTATGTTTTGGTTTGTCTGATTATGTAATTTTAAATATTAAATGATTGATAATTTGATCAGTAACTTTTTACCAAACATTATTTTATTCTGACTGGAGTATAAATATGTTGAAGTAGTGCTACTGCTATTGGAGTAAAATGTTTTGGTCTCTGCATGTGATAACTTGTAGAAATAATGTCTATAATTAATGTGTTTTATTATTTCTAACAGAGCATCAATGCTGAACCGGACCTCCTCGTCTCTCCTGGTTCTGATTCTGAGTTCTGCTGCTCTGGGTGAGAAAATATGACTGAATGTTTGAAACTGAACTTTAACTCAGAGCATGAAGGACGTCTCAGGTTTCTAGGAATAATTAGCAGATCTGATATCACTGGATCTATTTCCTGTCAGTGTTTTGATCACAACTTTTCATCTGAGCCGTTAAATAAACTTTTACCTGAAGCTTCGTGAGAAAATGTTTTAAATCGTCCGTCAGCGTCTGAAACATCAAATCCTGGATATTTGGAGGTGTGATGATGCATCAGATTATCAGAACTACTTCATCAAAGTGTTTCTGAGGATTTGTGTTGTGATTTCTTGCTTCTGTCTCTTTCTGACTCCTGCAGGAAAATCTCTGCCCACCGTGAATGAAACTCTGGACGTCTACGAGGCCGAGGAGAACTCCAACGTCACGCTGAAATGGATCCGTCCGGATCCGAACGCCACGCCGCCTGACCGGCTCTACGTCCATCTGATGAGCATGGAGCCGCTGAGGAGGATTTATTGGTTCGACAGCAGAGATGAGACGTTCACAGATGATGAGTTCAAAGGTCGACTGCACTGTGACCCCCAGCTGGTCAGGAATGGAGGGATCCGGTGTCTCCTGGCTGAAGTGAGGCTCAGCGATGCGGGTCGGTACCGGTGCTACGTCGTCATTGACGGAAGAAGAGACCATAGAGACTGGGAGCTTGTAGTCAGAGGTGAGTTTTTACTGATAAAAATGGTTTAATCTTTATTTCTGGTCTTTTTTATGTTTTCCACTTTATTTTTGGGTCTGAAAAGCTGCATTTTCATTACAAATGTTTATTACAAACTGTCTTTGATATTTCATAAATGTAAAAAATGAAGAAAAAAAACATTTACAGATACAGTGTTTCCATTAAATAAGAAATACATTTAAAATCACATGTGAATAATTTTATTCATGCAATAAGTCATTAAAAACATGGATGAGTCAAATGTTAAGACAAAGAAAATTCTTCTTCTTCTTCTTCTTAAATGCGTTTTTCCAAAATCGGGTTGTTTCCATGAAGCAAATTTTCTTTCATAATTTCATTTTACAGAGTTTTAACATCAATGGAGACGCAGCTACTGATTTATTCTTGATTCTTTCTTTGCAGCTTCCATTCCTCAGACTCAGCCCAGCCAGCACACCTAGGTGGGCCCCATATGGGATATAAGTGGGCAGGCAATATGGGTCCCAAAAGGGTTTGTCCACGGTTTCCATGGTGGCCCCACATGGGTTTGCCAAGTAAATTTTTATGGGTGCTAACTGGGTTTTCAGTGGGGCCCACATGGTTAACTCACATGAGGCCCATCTGTGGCCCACTAGGGTGCTGTCAGGAATATTTACCTGGGTCCCAATTGGGTCTGAACTGGGCTAGAATATGGGTACCAAGTGGGTTTGTCCACGGTTTCCATGGTGGCCCCACATGGGTTTGCCCAGGTTGATTTCAATGGGTGCTGACTGGGTTTTCAGCGGGACCCAGATGCCTTAATCCTGTAGGAACAATTCTCATCTAACCTGGATGTGAATTACATTCATAGATATGCAATCTTGATCAACAATCCAAAGTCTAGCTTAAAACGTGTTCAAATAAAAAAAAAAAAAAAAAAGAGATGAAAAATTTATTTTGCTCAAGGCTTTTATTTAGTAATTTAAAATATTGTCAGGAGTTATTTTTTACCTCACTACAGCAATTATTAGAACTTCATTAATACTCAGGGAATGGTGCCACAAAAAGAAATCTGCAATTATTCACGACATCTTTGAAAATAACAGAAGCTAGTTTACTATAACAAACTTATAAACAGATCTATAAATATATATCTATAGATGCACACAAATAAAGACACCTACATATTTTCCTACAGGTCTATAAATGTATACATCTAAATACTATCTATATAACTTTATACACGTATATTCACATTGATACACACAATGTGAATATACACACCTATATAGATCTTTCACAATACATTTTTGTTAAACATTTTTAAAAATAACCTACATGCCATATGCATGCTTAAATTTGAAATCTCTCATACTTTACTGAAACTGTCCATCTTGAAAGACCTCCCCAACCTGAGTTTGAACTGGCAGTCTCTCTAGTCTATTTCCACTTCCACTCGGGCTCCAGTAAACCACTTCGAGAGTCTTTGCTGTATGCTTGTGTGATTCTGTAGATGGATAATTTCTTTTAAGTCCCCTGAAATAACAAGCAAAGGTAGAAATTGTATTAGTGTTTCATTTTAGCACAATGTAACATTCATGAGATTTGCATCTCCCCCTTCATGGGGCAAAAATGCTTGCAGAGATATGCCATAATCAAAAGGACTCTTGAGTCATCATTATTATGTACAGAAACTATATTCTTACTGTAAATTTAAAATATATCCATCTATATAAATCAACTACTAGGTTCTATCGTGGTTTTGTGGTTATTTTAATATTGTTTGAAATGCAAACAATATTACCTTCAAATTTTTAAGTTCTTAACAACAGTGAAAGAATACTGTTCAAATAAAACCAAAAATTGAAGACTCAATTTTTAACCTAAAAACATTACTAAAAATAACAAACAAAAGCATAAAACAACCAAAATAAATTAACATATGTTTAAGAAAGAAAAGTGAAAAAAAAAAGTTACTCTGACAATAAAAACTGATATTTACCATACAAAACATCAAAGAGACGCAGGTCCAAGAGCTTGTTTCCAATGTTGGCCAAAAAGGTTGAACTGGACTTCCAGTTCATGGGACATGAGGAATCGCACAGCTGGTTGTATTGTGTCATCTAAGGATGCTCCTCCAATTTCTGTAGCCATGGCAACCTTAAGTACAATGACAATAACAGGACAACATTTTGTTTTTGTTCATCAGTTTGTCATTATATCACTCTTATGTGCTTAATTTCACTAACATATTAATCTACCTTTTTCAAATCATTATAAAGTGATCTTCACACGCTGATCCTCTTGAAGCCTGCAAAAATATATATTTATTAGTGCAATATAACATTTAGACTTTTCAAAAAATAAAAAAATTAAGGCAAAACAGCCTTTGTATAGATTAACTACTGAAGCCTTATATTGTAAACACTGAACAGTTTTGCAATTATCCTAATTTCTTTGTTAACGTGACAGGACTAAGACAGTAGTATTACTCTTAAGAGAAGTTTAGAAAATCACTATAAATGTAACTAATAAAGCCTAAAACATTGTACATATAAAAAAATTAGAGCTACAATTAAATATAAGTACATTTCACATAACTGCTAGCTAAATATTGCAAAAATATCAAAAAGAATTTCTTCATCTTTCAATATTTGTTTCAGGCTTGGCCACTGATTGACATGATGGGTTTCAATTTACGGACCCACATGCAGTAACCACACGTTGGATAGGGATGAGTGAGTGATTTATTTACAACAGGACAAAATAAAATCTATTTCCCGGACATCAGCGGAAGGGGAGGACCACTCGACCAGGTTGGCCTGAAACGAGAACTTAGTTATGACGGGCTTAGAATGAGTGATCGGAGGGGAAACAGGAACAGGCTTACTTCGGTGGGGTCTTTCGAGGCGTGGGTGTGAGATGCCAGGTTCCTGAGAGAGGGTGTGCAGCGGTTCCGAAGGTAAATGCGAGGTGGGAATGGAAGAGAGCTGGAAGCTCGAAGGGTGGAGTGGAGGCAGTGGAATCGGCGGAGCGAGCAGGCAGGTATTCACTGGTGAGTTCTCGAATGAGGCGACAAAACCCCTAAGATCGAACAAACACAGAGACCAGGTGACTTCTAGTAGACACAGAAACGTTCTCAGAAAACTGTTCACAACAGGAGAGGCCAGAGTGACTACCGGTGTATGCAACCATCTAGCATACACCAGTAGAATCTTCAGTCAATCTAGCGTAGACTGAAGATTCTGCTGCTCCTCCACCTGTGCCAAGCTCCACGGGCTCCTCACAAAGATCCTCGCTGAAATAAGATGCGACACTCACATACACACACAGGAACCCTGACACTGATGACTACTCTAGACCAACACAATAGCGGCAGATTGAAATAAACTATGACATAACAAAACGCTTTAAAGTGTCACACAACAATTAAAAAAAGAATTTAAAAATATGAACTACAATGCCTTCATCCTATTTACAAAAAACCTTTTAGGCCCAATATACTGAAACCACATGGGCCCCATATAGTGTTCCCATTTCTGTCCCATGCCCGGTTAGCCACGTTAATGCTGAATTGGGCCCATACATTTAACCCAATTGAGCCAACAATATGAGTCCCATTTCGGTTAACCTTTTGAGCCTCACGCAGTTGGCCCAGATAAAACCCATGCCCTCTTATCATTACCTATATAGCCCAAAGCTAAACGATTCAATGCAGTTTTATTGAAAAAAACGACAATAATAATCTTGCATGGGTCCCAGCCAAACCAGCCTGAATCCATACATGAGACCCACCCATGCATGCTGATGTGACTGTGAGAAAGATTATTAAAAGCCCAAGTACATAGAATGAAAGCACAATAGTTACTCTTTTTAAATCAAAAATGGTTTTATTGTGTCCAGACACTTTGTAACAACCTCTGCTAGCAACATAGATTCTTCAGTGAACCGATTTCATTCTGCCTCGTTGGCGCTCAAATGAACCAATGGCAGCTCAACAAATAGAATGGCGGCGGTATTTGAAAATGGTTTGGCCCACAACGCTGCGTTTGAAATCGGTCTGCACTAAAATCTGCTTATTGTGTGTAGCTGTGTGTGTTAGCAATATCAGAAAAAGTATCACCCTAAAGAAAAGCAAAAATAACAATAACAATTAAGTCTCTTTTGGGATCTGTCGTCCGATTTGTTACGAGCAACAATTTTTTTAACAAGCGATTTAAAATCTCTCCCTAAAATTTGGTACTAGGTAAAACAGAAGAAATGTACTTACAGATTCTTTCGTAGATCAGCCAACAGGCAGACTCCGCGCCAACGGACTGATGAAGAGAACAGGCTTGATTTTGAAACCGCATATCCATCCGCGGGTCATTTTACGTTTTCCAAGAAACACAAGATTAATTTTTGAGAGTGCTACATCGATTTAACAAATGTAAAACCGATGTAGCAAAAGTTCTCAATGTAAATAAATACATTTCGTTGTCCTCCTTATTCAAATATTTTGGAACTATTTTCTTCAGTGGATGTGTAAAGTGCCTACCGGTACTTCAATTCACCAACCTTTACTGGCAACGGTGCCTCAGAGCAAACAATGAACAAAAAGGTAATTGGAACCAAATGAATCATTAACAGAAATGTTACGTCTTTTATTTTTTATTTTATTTATACTGATGACTTGGAAAATGTTTGCAAATATATGAAAAAACAGATGCTCAAAATTTACTCTTGTCTCTCACTTGCTAATGAGTTTTGTTTATTTTCTAAACATTTTGTGATATTTTTCACAATGGTCTGATCTGAACTATTTGTCCAAATAAAAATTTAAATCTTGCTGCGAACAGGCTGCAGTAAACTCTATGAATGTCTAAACATCCAATTGATAAAAAATAATAATAAAAATAAAATAAAAAGTTATTATTATTAAAAATAAAACAAGGACTAAAGCTCAACCATGACCACTCTGTGCTTAATTTGAGTAATCACCAGAATATGAGTTACGTATATATTTCAAACAGATTATTTCAAAAAAAATGTTTAAGACATTCAGACTGCAATAATAAAATGAAAAAAAGTTAGGGGTCAAAGTGTAGCAAGAGCAATACTGAACTTGCTTTTGCTTTGACATACAGTGAAAAGTTTGAAAGTGACAGGGTAACCACATTGTCGATTAAAATGTTCTACAATTTTGTCCCATTTAGACCATGAAAAAAGTACTAGGGGCTACATTTTTCTGCCCAGGTCCAACCCATGTATGGTTAGCCCATGCTCATGTCATGTTAGTTTAATGTGGACAGCCCACATTGGGCTTCTCATGTGGGGCCCATGATACTGAAACCACATGGGCCCCAAATAGTGTTGCCCATTTCTGTCCCATTTCCAGTTAGCCCACATTGTTGCTGAATAGGGCCCATACATTTAGCCCAAATGGGCCAGCCCATAGGGGTCCCATTTTAGTTAACCATATGTGTCCCATGAGGTTTGCCCAGATAAAACCCATGACACTCATTACCCATATGGCCTACTACAAACCCAACGGGGGCCCACTCATGCGTACTGGCTTGGAGACTGGACTGGACTGTTCTAGCATAAAATAATAACATGAAAAAATGTTAAGGGTTCAAAGTGTGGCTAGAGCAATACTGAACTGGTTTAAAAAAATAAAGCATTGTAGAATTATTTTTAATGTTTTAATATCCTGGTCCTCTGGAAGCCTAGTGTTTGTAAATGAGCCAGGCATAGATATCACACAGTGAACATGTTTTAGGTTCAAACATTAGGAAGACATGGATGTTCTGTTCTATCAGCAAAATATATCCTTGGGTGATCTCCAAGACGAGGTCACCTTCGTCCTGGAGACCTCGACAATGGTCAAGGTCACCAACCTTTACTATCGTCGAGGTTTCCTACAAGGAAAAAATTAAATTCTACAATTTACCTTACATTAACTCCATTAGAGGCCAGCTGAGTAACAATTGCCTTGGCAAAGACTATAAAGCTGACATCTCGGGTAATTCTTTCCAAGTTTTGAGAATCTTGCTCTTGCAGCTTTTGCTTTGACATACAGTCAAAATTTTGAAAGTGACAGGTTAACTACAGGGTTGGACAATGAAACTGAAACACCTGGTTTTAGACCACAATAACTTATTAGCGTGGTGTAGGGCCTCCTTTTGAGGCCAATACAGCATCAATTCGTCTTGGACAAGTATGGGGCCAAGGGAATGCCATGATATGGCAGCCCACACCATCAATGATCCACCCCCATGCTTCACTCTGGCATACAACACTCTGGCTGGAATGCATCTTTGGGGCTTCTCCACACCGTAACTCTCCCGGATGTGGGGAAAACAGTAAAGGTAGACTCATCAGAGAACAATACATGTTTCACATTGTCCACAGCACAAGATTTTCGCTCCTTGCACATTGAAACCGACGTTTGGCATTGATACGAGTGACCAAAAGTTTGGCTATAGCAGCCCGGCTGTGTATATTGACCATGTGGAGCTCCCGACGGACAGTTTTGGTGGAAACAGGAGAGTTGAGGTGCACATTTAATTCTACCGTGATTTGGGCACCGTGGTTTTATGTTTTTGGGATACAATCCGGGTTAGCACCCAACATCTCTTTAAGACAGCTTCGTCTTGCATCCACAGTTAATCCTGTTAGATGTGGTTCGTCATTCTTGGTGGTATGCTGACATTACCTGGATACTGTGGCTCTTGATAATCACAAAGACTTGCTGTCTTGGTGAACAATTTGCCCTCTTTGAACTCCAGTATGTCCCAAATAATGTTATGTGCATTGCAATATTTTGAGCAAAACTGTGCTCTTACCCTGCTAATTGGACCTTCACACTCTGCTCTTACTGTTGCAATGTGCAATTCATGAAGATTGGCCACCAGGCTAGTCCAATTCAGGCATGAAACCTCCCACACTAAAATGAGAGGTGTTTCAGTTTCATTGTCCAACCCTGTACATTGTTCTACAATTTTGTCTCATTTAGCCCACTTAAAAAAGGACTGGGGGTCATATCCACACCCAGGTCCAACCAGGGCGTGGATATGTACTGACCACACTGAACCCACAGTGGGTTCAGTGTGGTCAGCCCACATGGTCTGACCACAGGTCTAACCCATATGTGGTCAGCCCACATGACATGAGTCTATGCTCATGTCATGTGGGTTCAGTGTGGTCAGCCCACATGGTCTCCCCATGTTGGGCCCATGATACTGAAACCACATGGGCCCCACATAGTTTTGCCCAGTTCTATCCCATTCCCAGTTAGCCCACTTATAAAAGGACTGGGGCCATATCCACACCCAGGTCTAACCCATA